TTTTTTTTTTTTTTTTTTTTTTTTTTTTGTGGGGGGGTGTGCAGTGGTGAGTATTTTTTGCTGAAAATTGAGTTGTTTGTCATTACTGTAATTTTAGTGGAAGGGACATTGGCAAAACCAAGCCTCGGTGGAATAGATTGTTATCCAGTGTAATGTATTGATCAGGTCAGGCAGTAAATTAACAGGAGCAGAACACCATTAAATTTTGAACTTAATTGCCTTCTACTCTTAATTTCTATTGGATATAATCAATAGGTGCCAGAGGAAAGTTAAAAGAGTTATTTAGCAAGCTGCTATTTCCTGCAGCATAATGGAAAACTAATGTTTCATCTTCTAGTTGATGCAAATAGTTTGTAGTTTGAGTGTGCCCACTTAAACATTTTATCAAATACTCACTTTTAGTTCTGTCTTGATTAATTTTCATCCCTCCAAGAAAGCAGCATGATTTAGTGACACAATATGTTTTGGCTTAGCTGCCCCTTTGGTCTTTGTTTCCCTGGGGGAACTCTCTGGTCTCTATTCCCACCTCCACACCCTGAGTGTTTCCAGGGGAGGGTTCTCAGGCCAGTGCCTCTCCATATCATTTCCTTTTCCAGGGAAACGCGCTGCAGTCAGCAGAAATGAAGACCACAGCCTTGGTCTTGGCTTGTCTTCTTGGTTTTTTTCCCAGCTTGTTTGGGCAAGTTGTTCATTTCTCTTATTTTCCTGCCTGAAAAACACCAATGTAAACAATTGCCTTTGCCAAAGGCTGGTGTCAAGCTGAAGTGTTGCACTTTCTTGCCTCCTTGTGCTGATGATACATTTTGTTCTCTCCAGCCTCAGTTTGTTACTCCCTCTGTCTCACATTTCCCTCTATAGTAAAATTTTTTATACCTTTTTTAACTTGCTGTTGAATTTCAGTATTGCTTATCCTGCTGTAATCTAAACCCAGTCCCTTATACATCAATATCTCAGTGCTATTATTATTTTTACACCTCTTTGGGCGCTCTTTCCATTACCTGGCCTTTTGCTAATAAAATGCTGCAGAGGGAACACCGTGTTTCAGGTGGCCCCATGCCAAAGCCGTGTGCCCAGTGGCACTGCCCTGTGGAATTACAGGGCCATTAAACAGCCATTGAGTGGAGGATAGACATCTGATGCAAATTAGGGAATTACTGCAAATTTTGGTGGGCCTCAGAAAGTGGATTACTGAAGCAGCACACAGAATAAAACAGGCCAAGGTAATCACACCTCAATATCTTACAACGGTGTCAGTTCTGTGCCAGTGGTGCTGCTCCATATTTATAACTTTGTATTGGCATCAGGCAATTCACATTCAAGCTAATGGGAGTCTTCCTGGAGTGTTGAATCAGGTTCCTGATGAGAAATGAGTGTAGCCCCTTCTGCTCATCTTCACAGCAGAAATAGCAGTTAGAGTTGAGAGGAGCCTACTTGAGGTTTTATGAAGTGGAGCATAATGATGCACCAAATGAACAGACCTTCATAGCAGTCTCATTGTGTTGACCCATACTTGATCTGAAAACCAAGTACCTTCAGGGAGTGGCAAGTAACCCACCTCAAAATAGAGTGACAATGAGTGATCCTTGCTCTGAAATCTTGACCTACATCTGTCCACAACTCTTTCCATTATAAAATGTGTATAATGGGTATTTTACTGGGAGCACATTTGTTTTTAGTCAAGTCCTATATATTAAAAAAAGCATTGCTTGCTGCCTGTGCAAATTCAAAAACTGCCAAATCATCAAAAGAGCTGAGTATGAATTTACCTCTTTGACAATTATTCCTTGTCACATTATTCTGGTTAACAGGGAATTCATCACAGTGGAGAAGGCAAAAATAAAGCCTCTTGACAGTTACAAGAAATTACCTGTGCTTACAATAATATATTTTCCAAGGGAAGGCTGGAGGGCAGAGTTTGACAGTGCTGAAGCTGTACCACCTGCAGTGATGTCCTGTGACCATTACTGGCCTGGACTTAACCTCTGCAGAGGGAAGATTTGTTTGTCTGTGTTACAGTCCAGCGGGAATTGTGGAAGGTTTGCAGTTCCAGCTCCCCAGAGAGGCTGAAATTCTGTTTTGGCTGTTCCACTGGTGTCCATCACATCACTGGCCTTTATACTGGGAAGAGGAAGAGGTGATGTTGTGCCTGTTGTATATTTAGGGGACTGAACCACAACCCAGGTGCCCATGGAAGCCAGTGGCCAAAGAGGAAATTGGACATGGGGCTAATTGAGGGCCCCTGGCCAGGAGGGTGTCAGCAGCTATAATGGCATTCCCATTTCCAGTTACAAGAAATTCCCATTTCCATGAAGAGCTTCTCCTCGTGTTTCACTCTTCTGCCAAGATAAAGATAAAAGGAGATTTTTCTCTGTCTCACTGAGGAGAATCCCCTTTTCATCCAAATGAATTATGCTGTCTTTGAGGCGCCAGATTAATCTGTCTGTGATATCCCTGGTGCATTGCTTCCAGACTAACACATTATCTGTGTTTCTTCTTCCATGATCTCTGGTGCAGATGAAAGCTAACACACATGGTAGGCTGGAAAAACTGCTGCCCACAGCCATGGAAATCCCTACAGGAACAACTCTGCCCTGTTGGAGAGGAGAGGTGCATAAGACAACATTTATGTTGAGGTTGATTATAAGGATAGTTTGATGCCGTTGAGGCTCCTTGTCTGACTTGCTGTCATCATAAAAGCTTTGTGAACCATAGATTATTGCATTTAGGTAGCACAGCAGGACAGGCAGACAAGGTAGAAAGTTTCAGGGACACACATGAATTAGGATTAAATGGAGCAAACTAATTCTCAATCAGATCTACGCACCACGAAAACAAAGAAGATAGAAAAAGACAGGATCAAAATTAGCAAGCTAACAGATTGCATTACTGGTTGGGAAGAAATCCTGGGTTATGAAATGCTGGTGGATTTAATGCTCAATTCTACCCTTATTTGTCTTGCACATTTGTAAGTCATTACCTTCTAGTTCAGTCAGGGCAGTGAGTTTTTGTTTTTTGAGGAGTGCTGAGCCTTGGCAGAAGTCTGCCTGTGGTAATACACAATTCACATCGTGGTTAGGATGGGCACTGCAATTGTTGCTGCTCTCTCTATTCTCTGCTGTGTTTGTAAAAGGATCAGAATTGGAGCTGTGAGGTTTTTTTTCTGATCCCTAAATCCAGAAGTGTATTTGCACCATTTTTATCCACTGCTCAGCACTTGCTTTCCTGAGAAATAGTCAGTCAAGACTTTTGGAAAGCAGGATTTTTTTGTGCACGCTGTTTGCAGTACTAAGAAGTTGTACCAGGCAGTAACTCTAGTTATGGTCCAAAACTCCACACAAAAACACCAATGCTCCAAAACCCAAAAGAAAGGAAAAAAAGTAACCTGCCAAAAACATACAGCTCTTCAGAGGTTTTGCAAGGTAGTTTTGGGAGTTTCAGGCAATAATATTTTCTTTGCATAACTGTTCAAACTGAGTGCATTGACTCTATGCATAAACTTTTTTCAACTCTGTCTTGTCATTCAGTCTAAAGAGTGTTTTGGTGGCACTTTGGAGTTTCTCACAACATCAGTTCTGGCAGGTGTAAAACCTTTGGACTCTGCTGAAGGGGAGCTGAAGGGAAGCTTCCATTTCTGGAAGCAGCTTTGCTATTATCCCATGGCCAGCAGAACTAAATATGGCTGCAGGAAAGCTGTACAACAGGCTGAAAATGGAAAGGATATTATATGGCATCACTGGAAATATGTGTGAAACCTTGCCACGTATTTACACATATTTTCCAAGAGTTTCAGCAAAACAAGGAGATTTCCGCATCTTTGTCCTGAGTGACAAGCATTTTAAAAAGATAGGTTCTGCACTGCCATAAATAACAATTTCTCTTTTTGCCTTTGCAAGCCATCATCAGGAGGTGATGGCATCACCTCCTCATTCCTACCCTCCATCTACCCACAGAGCCATGAGAGCATGCATGTAAAAATGCATAAAAATGTCAGCCTTGCAATTTAAATGTCAACTCCTCAATCTTATTCCAGTACATTTAGACCCTCCTTTGCATACAGGGTGGCTGATTTCTTACAATTCTCGTTTTCCTCAAAATGACAGAGGAGGCATCCATGGCCCTTTCTGATAGTTCCATTTTTTACTGTCCCCCTGCAGAACACAATTATAATGCAGTGTGCTCTGCTGAGAGACCAGTCCCTTAGGGATATTAAACAGACAGTTCTATTGTCTTTGTGCTGATCTGACTCCCTTTTGCTTCATCAGAGTTTAGCAAGCTCTTGCTGCAAGGATTTGGCTGCCTTGTGATTCTCCCAGCATCTCTGCATGTGGGGAAGATGCTGCAAAGGTGTGCCCCTGTTGCCCATCTCTCTCAGCACCCTGGAATAAGAAAACACAGAATTAGATATGCAGATATAGATATATATTGATGGGTAATCCATTTCACAGCTTTGTCTAGATGTTTTTCTGTCCCATCCTGTGTAGTTTTTTCAGGTGTACATCAAGGGGAGCCATTTGGCATCACGCTGAGTGGTGCTTTGGTGGGTGCTGCAGGCTGCTGAGGAGCACAGACACACTTCTGCTGCACTGCTGAAGCTGCAGACACAGCCTGCTCCTCCCTCGCTCCCCTTAATGCAAAATGGTGTTCTAGAACTCACTTTCAAAGACTGGGGGCTTCTGTGAGTTACCTAAATTCTATGTTTGGGCACCTAAACAACTTGCCCTCAGTGGTTTTCCAAATTAAATATTACAATTTAAAGCAAAAAGCACTATCTATACAATTTATTTTCTCATATTTATTCCATTTGAAAATAAGACCAAATACAATGAGTGTAAAAAATAAATTTACATAACTTATTAGCTTTTGAAGAATTTCCTCCCAAGCAGAAATAAGAAATGTACATGTGTACACTAAGAGATTTTTCTGGGGTCAGATTTTTTTTTTTTAATTATTCTTATTTAGCAAGATAAAATCTTACAGCCATTCATCAGGAACTCATGACCTCCTTTCTATGCCCCTGCCCACAGAAAGTGGAAAGGATTGCCTCTGCTTCTCTCTCTGGCAGAGAACACAAATACAACCCGGTATTTTCACTGAAGGATCAGGGATATTCTTACCATTTTCCCCCATGTCCTGCAAGAGCAGCTTGTACAATCCACAGTGATCCAAGGACAAGAATATGCTTTCCCTTCTACCTTGGCAGGATTTTACAATGTCAAGGTAGGGCCTGAAAAGCACTTTGAGATCCTTGCAGTAGAAGTGTTGAAAAAGCACAGGAAACTGCTCTGGTGTCATGAGACACCAACTTGGCTGCAGCATTACTACAGAAGCCTTTGGAGACCAAAAGCTGTCCTAATTTGACTATTTCCACCTGCTTTTAATAGGGAAAAAATCTGATAGTGTTTGAATTATTAATTTATATTAAAATACAAAATCTTGAAGCACATCAGCCACTAAAGACTCTTCCTTGCAGAAGCCCTTCTGCATTCCCCTGGCCAGAGCTGCTGTTCCCTGCGAGGCAGAGCTGGAAGATCTCACATCTTCCCATGAGCTCCCAACGCAGAACTGAAGCCTCGAATGCTCCCTGGCCACAAATTGAGGCCCTGAATGCACAGTAACTGAATATTCATTTTGTCCATTCTTTAGGAAAATAGTGACTATTTAAAGTACAAGAATAGCTCCATTCATGAGCCACGATGTGAGCAAAGCCTCTGCCACCGCTGCCGTGTCTGCCTTTCTTATGAAGAAGCCAACAAAGCTGATATATTACCATGCATAAAAATAATGAAAAAGAGATTTCCAGGGAGAAAAGTTATGTTTTTGCCATGAAGTGATGTGAGTGATTATAAGCATAGGTGTTATTTCTCTCTGTTGTTCACTTGTCTGTGCAGAGCAGGACAGTTGGGACACAGGATGCTCCTGCTGCAGGGCTGGGTGATACCAGGGTTTCAACACTTGGAACAGGAGATACTTCAGGCAAAACTTTCCCCTGATTTCAGCTGAACTATTCATCACACACATAGCTGTCATTAATCTTACATGCAGAGCCAGGCTTCTCATATTTCAAAACCTTTGGAGAGGCAGCTTTTTAATCTATATTTGGTTCTTCTTTTTTTCCCCCTCTGAGATTGGTTTCTCTTTGCATATAATGCTGTGGTAGTTTCAATTTTAAAAGAACCCTGAAATAAAATACTCAAATTTAAAACCCTAGCAGAGAGAAAGGAAACAATTATCTTGAAATTCTTTTTTTTTTTTTTTTTGGAGGTAAAAAACTTAAATGACAGCACTGCTGTCTGCCAGAATTGACATGTATTTTAACTTCTGTTTCAGTCAATGTATTATCTTAATCACAACAAGAGGACACATTCTCCAAGATGGAGCCATAAATTCAATTAATCTCAGTAGTAATTCACAAAGCAATTCATTATAGTATAATGCAGCACCTTGAAGTATCTAAATTGCAGCACCTGAAGATGCTTAATGGCCAGAGGTAGATGTAGAAGCTGCCCAGCAGCTCATGGTGGCAAGTTCTAATCTAACATCTTCTGCTTCTTCTCTGACACACCACTCCAGACTAAAGGCAGATCTGCTCCTATGAGCCAGGAGAATGAAAAAAAAGGACAAGGAAACAAAATGTCCAGAAAAACAGGAGAAAAGACAAAATCTCTGTGAGGGCAGCAAGTGGCAGGGGGGTGAGGTCTAAGCTTATTTTCAAAAATACATGAACTATGGCAGCTACAGGTTATGAAGTATTCTTAGCAAAACTTTCTGGTGACCATGAACAAAATTTTTAATTGATTTGCATATCTCTTTAATTTTGAGATACCTGCCTAATTTTGAGATAATAATTTAGCTGCCTGCTCCTCATTTTTTAAGTCTTTCATACAGCTCATACTCAAAACCCTTCTGTCTGCTAATATTCAAACAGGACAATCTTGGAATCCCCACCTCTTTGCCATTTTGCAGAGCAGAATCTGGACACAAAGCATTATAAATGCAGCACTGTGTGTCACTATGGGAACTGTGGCTGCTGCCAGACAGAGTTGGGAATGAGCTGGGAGCTGGCTGGGCACGTGTGTGTGCCTGTGTGTTTGTGTGTCTGTGTGTTTGTGTGTCTGTGTGTTTGTGTGTCTGTGTGTCTGCCAGGCAGGCACACGCATAAACATTCAAATGCAGATATGTAAATTTTACCATTAAGTGTTTGCGTGTCTTTGCTTCCCCATGTCTTCTTATTTTCCTTCATTTAGCATAGATTATCTCGGTAAGTCTGGCAACTAGTCAATTACTGAATTCCTTTCAAATGAAGGGAAAAGGAAGATTACAAAATTCATCAAGCTGGCATAAATCAGCATATCTTCCCCACCTGAGGATCTGACCCTCTAACAGTAGTTTCTTTCTTCTTTATAAAGGTAATTATTCTATTAAAATTAATAGTGAAATGAATACTGCTGTGACTGAATTACATGGGATAAGCGTGAAATACTGTGATCAGTTCTGCTATGAATTAGTAATTATAGTGTGCCCAGTGAAATTTGCATACTTTGCTCTCCTTCCCTGCTATCTGCCTTGGTTTAGTTGCCAGTGCTCTCTCCAGGGTTGGAGCTGGAGATTTTAGTGCCCTATGCAAAGAGGAGGTGTTTGCAGAACATAGCACCCCTGAGTTTTAAGGTAGCAGAAGAAGTTACAAGATAAGCTTGGGTTTGTTTGGTATTTGAAATAGCTGTGATTGCCTTTCTAAATGTGATGGTGTGTGGGGGGTTTTAGTGCTTACACAGATGAGGTGAGGGGAGAAAGAAGAGAAGGGGGGGAAAGTCTGCCTCCTTTCCTCCTCCTATTTCTGTGTGAAAAGTTTGTGTTCTTGTGACTTTGAGTTGGTGCCTGGAGCAGTGAAAGTAGTTGGTATCTGAAAGGAGAAGGGAATAAGGGAGAGCCAGAACAGGAGGAGCTCGTGGACCTGTTTCACAAAGAGCTGTGTCCAGCCCCTTGCACTCAGGTGCTCCATGCAAAGTTTAAAGGTGACCTTGAAGAGGATAAATGATGCCAGCAACAGCAATTACTTATCAGCTTAAGGATGGAAAGTGGAAAGTAATAATTCTTTTTGTTTGTTTGTTTGTTTTTTGTTTGGGTTTTTTTTTTTTTTTTTGAGGTGCTTTAAGGTCATAGGGCAGAAGTGAAGCATCAGGTCCAGGCTGGTTTCTCAGGAGAAGGCAGGGAGGTTTTTCCCTGCAGCCTTACAGCCCTGCCATGCCTGGATGCCTGCTGAGCTCAGGGACTCTTCACCTCAGCATGAACTGAACACCCACATCCCAATGGAACAGGATCTAGGGAGGAACCAGATGGAGAGAGACTTTCTCCCTTTCAACACTCAGTGACTGGAATCTGACATCTTACAAAAGCTGGTGCTCAACTCGGCACCAGAGGTGGAGAGAGGAATTCAGTGATGCCCAGACAGGCTGGGAAAGCTCTAACTGGCTGCATTCCTGTGAAGTAATTGCTTTTGTTAATAGGATTTTATTGTTATAATTCATATTAGGATGATCACAGGCTGGTTTAGATTCCTTATGCTTGATAAAATAATGTAGTGATAAATGCAGACATGTTCCAATGGATAAAAAACTTGTTTCTCTTTCCTGAAAATAGCATGTAGCAAAAATTTCTCAAAGAAAAAATGAAAAAGGGGGAAAAAAGGAGACTTTTGCTGACATAGCTAACATAATATATTTTGTTTCTTTGGATAAAATTTGATCTTGACAATCCCCAAGTTAATAGAAAGTTGTTCTTTTTCCCTCCCTAAAATATCCTGTGTAGTGCGCAATTTATCCAGATCAATAGAAGCATTTTTCACCCCAGGAACACAACCTCAGACAACTTGTAAAAAGGTCATACAAACTTTTGATGCAAACCATTATTTTTAATTCATGTGGTCTACCCGTGTTTCCTAGCACCTGAACTGTCCTTTCTGCAAATTACATTCCTTTTGTGAATAGAAACAGTTTATTAAAACTCCTGTATTAATTATTTAAATTAATTTATAAATATTTGAGGAAGCCCATGCAAAAAGCACTCATAATAAATTATTTTATTCTACCTTCGTTGAAAGCTAAATTAAAGAACTCTGATGATTGCCTTTTGTGAGAAAGCCTTTTCAGCTGCTTGTCATCACAAGGTCTGGGACAGGAGAAATTTGTCTAAGGAGCAGCAAAAAACATAAAAATCAGCACCTAAAGGTCAAAGAGATATCAACATTTGTATCTTAGAGTGTTTGTACTAAATGTGACAATCAATATGGGACCATTCCTTTAGCTGTGCTCAGTGTCTTATGGGGGAGCCATCAGATTCCAGCCTCAGCTTTGGGATCACAGGTGTGGAGACTGAATTACTGACAAGAGGGGAAGGATTGGTGCTAAGGAGAGGCCAGAAGCAAGTGCAAGGAGAAATCACTCACACAGATCAATCGAATGAGAAGTCAGATACTGTAAGTGGTGCTGGAAAGAATATCAAATATCTACCCTGAGAGTCTGTGGCAGGTCAGCCTGAGCAGTGCAAAGGGATTTCTTACATGAAATGGAAAAAATAGAATCATACTCAAAATGGCAGCAGCAGAATGGCAGAAACTTCTCTGGCTAAACTTTTCTGGGAATTATTTTCTGGATGGAAGAAAGCTTCCGTTTGAAGCTCTCAGTTTTGCAGTGCTGGTGGGTAAGAGTCCCTCTGTGAACATTCCCATCTTTTGGATCCCATCTCTGTGCACATTTGGTCGTGTCTGCCTGTCAAGGTCATTACACATTCTAAATGGCAGGTGCCAGTCAGGACAGAAGTGCTTCTGCAGAATTTTGGTAATAGATAATTAAATTTATTAAATAGAAAGAGATGTCCAGTGATGAACCCCTTCACCCTGTGCTTCTTTCTTAATTGTCCTGTGTTTGAGTAGCCTCATGAGGTGGGCACATGGATCCTGTGACAATTTGGTATAATCAGTTTGTGGCCATGCAGGATGGACCAGAAGATGCTCCAGTTGTAAAGTCTCAGAGTGTCTGAGGTGGTGGGTGATAAACCCAGAGCACTTGTAGAGATGGACTCAGCTCTCTGAGCAGTGACAGCTCAGACCAGTTGCACACAGCCAGTCTTTACAGCTTTCCCAGCACTTTTCCACTGACCTGCTTCTCTTATTCACCCACCTTCTCTTCTATTGGTGATCACTATTAAAGCAGAAAGTTAGAAATATGAAGTCGAAGGACTGCATCATAAGGCCCAGAATTAGGGAGCTCACTAGGCAATTATCTTTCCTATTTGATCAGGTATTTTTTGAAGATTAATATTTAGAAGGAAAACCCAGCTATTTCAACCTTGTTCTGTTTTAAAGGGCTTTAAAATGATGGAGGAAGGGAGATTGTAAGAATAAAAAAAAATATAAAAACCCATAAAATTTCATTTAAAGCTTTCTGTTCAGTTTTCTGGTAACTATAGCAATTCCCAGTGTCTTTGTTTAGCTATTTATTTGTCTTTGCAGGGCTCCTGCTTGCATACATTTTGTAACTGGCAGAGCTGAACACATTCTGCAAAACCTTTTCCACTAATTCGTGCTCGTAATTGCGAAGAGCTTGCGCTGGGCACGCTCAGGCTGCACGTACATTCATTTTGTATGAGCATTAATGAGATCAAGTAGAACAAGGACAGATGTTTGTGAAAAACAAACTCCCTTTTGTAATGATGAGAACAGAGCTTACGGCTTCATAGCTGAGAATCACCTGAGCAGAGTGGGCATGAGATTCCTGGAGTACCTGGAGTCTGAGGCTCCCAGCTCCTTCCACCTTCTTATTTTTTTAAGAGCACATCTTGTGCGTTACAATGGAAATTATGATCTTTGTATAAATTCAGGATTATTCACTCCTAAGGACAACAGGGTAAGGTCATTGTATAAATTATTAGTAGCAAAGAGTTACCTAGAAGAAGTGAAATCCAGGGCCTCTTCCAGGAAAAAAAAAAAAAAAAAAAAAAAAAAAAAAAAAAAAGGAAAATATACTGTGAATGGTAGTGAAATTTTATCTTTTAAAATAATGCAACTCAGACTTAAATTGAACGGAGGTAAAAACGCACGAGCTGTGCCAATAGCAGCGTGGCCATGAAATTTCAAGTGCCCATTAAAAGACTTAGCTCTGTAAAAGGTCTCAGAGTAAATAAGCATTATGAGCACTGAAGGAAAACATCATTTCAAAGGAAAGCTTGTCAGTTAAGGTCAGGTTAATATCCACACTTGAATTTCACTGTTTGTAAGTCTTGCTGATAAGCTTTTATAATTGAGTTATTTCTCTTATTCCATGCATATTGAAGCAGTAATTAAACTATGATATGAAATACAAAATATTGTGTGCTCAATTCATCAATTTTTATTCAGTCTCACAGTTCTTGTTCCAATTGCACTGGCATTGTTGCACTGAAATATCTCCCAATCTATCATGCCAAGATTATGCATGATGTAATTTGTAATAGCAGCTAGGGATTTGTTTACAAAAAACAAATGTTCCTTTAATCTTCGAAACAAAATTAGACTTGTCTTACATCACAGAACAAAGATAGCTGAATGAATACAACACCTTTAATAAATCAGTAATTACCTTGTGTAGTTCCAGTTGGCTCATTTAACTTGACCTTTGAAAACAACTTCCTCCACACTGATTTTAAAATGTGCTCTTCTGGACTGTGGAGATAGGAGTGCTCTAAAGGTGTGTTATTTATACCACAGCAATTCCCACTTCATGGAAGAGAATTTGGACCTTACTGTCTTTTCCCAGCAGAGATAATTGCAAGTTAACTAAACTACCTCCTCAAGAATTTTGCAGGCTCTTCCTTTCAGTACCACTGTGCACAAAGCAGCAAACACCACGTGCAAGTTCAGAGTGCCATCATTAGAACAATGAAACCTCCCTTAATTTTTCTTTCACGTGGAATCATCCCCTGCAGTGGGAGCACAGGGCACCTGACCCCATGCAGGGTGGGCTTGGGTTGGTGGAGATCTGAATAAACAAAATTCTGTAGCTGGACTGAAATATCTGGTGGGTACAAACACCAGCAGAGGGCTGCTCCCACCCTTCCCTGGGATTTTGCTCCAGGAATCTTCCAGGTCTGATTAGTATCCTCTTTCCATCCACTTTAAGGGAAGAATATCAAATGGCTTCATGTACTTCACACCTCTTTGCAGTCTTTTTTCCCAAAAACTCCCTGACATCTGGATTTTAGGAGAAATACAAAATCATAGAATCACAGAATGGTTTGGGTTGGAGGGTGTGGCATGCACATTTTTCTCCCTCTCAAGATTTTTCATAGAGTTGCACAGAGAGAAATGAAAGATAAAACCATTTCTATTTCTGCTCCTTGTTTTTCCCATGTGGAATGTGTTTGGAGAATTGTTTACCTGGGGTGATTGTTTGGTTGGATTCTGGTGAGGATTGTTTGAGCCTGATGGCCAATCCAACCCACCTGGGGCTGGACTCAGAAAGGGTCACGAGTTGTGGTAGAGAAAGTTGTATGTAGGTTTAGTATCTTCCTTTTTATATAGTATATTAATGTATTTCAGCATAGTTATAATAAATCATTCAGCCTTCTGAACTGAGTCAGACATCATAATTTCTTCCCATTGGGTTCGCCTGCATTTACAATAGGAGGGGACCTTTAAAATCCATCTCCTTCACCCCCTGCCATGGGCAGGGACACCTTCCACCATCCCAGGTTTTTCCAAGCCCTGTCCAGCCTGGCTTTGGACACTTCCAGGGATCCAGGGGCAGCCAGAGCTTCTCTGGGCACCTGTGCCAGGGCCTCCCCACCCTCACAGGGTAAGATTTCTTCTCAATATCTAATTTAAACCTGTTCTCTTTCACCCTTTTACTGCTCAGGTTCTTTCATGCTTTCAATTCTTTTGCCACTACTCCTGCCCTCCCTTGCTTTCTCCAGGACCCAGCTGATAGCCCCCACCATCGCAGAGTGGGGAATCTCAGCCACATATTTCAGCACTTTTTGAGTTTAGAGTTCCAGCCACAGGTCTTTAAAGCACAAAGAACTTAGTATTTTTCACAGAGGACGAGAGGGACAATATAATAGCTTGCATTTCAAAAAGAAAGCCAAAACAAGAATCTTTTCACTGGAAAAGCATACACAAAAAAAAAAATCAATTAAAAAAAGGTGGTTTTCATTGACTAGTGGCACATAATCACATTATATCCTATTAATTTCTGTGGATTTGAAGGAAGAATTTTCTATGTATATTTATTTACAGGAATTCTCTCTGTTAGCTAGAAACTAGAGCTTCTCTGGTAATGAGAGAAACACTACACAATTCTTACCCAAGTGGCACACCAGAATTAAATTTCATAACTGATAACCCTCCAATATATTATGCATGCTTTGTTATGCCTTATAAATGCATTACAATGATATAATTTATTCATTTCCAGTGTTCTTTCCTAGAGTGCTTTGCTGCTAGGCTGTGATTTTGGCACCTCATTCAGTCAAAATTTCACAATAGACTTTCACCCTCCCAAGCCCATTTCTCAGCTTTTCCCTTCCACATCCCCAGACCCAACACCAGCAGTACAGGAGCTCATGTTTGAGCAAATGGCAGCTTTTACAGACACCAGATTTGGTCTGAATTCTGCAAAAACTGAGTTTTTTTTTTTTCCCCTGCTTCTCCAGTAACTGTTGGAAAATACACTAAACACAGATTGTTGGTTTACATATATATATATATATATATATATGACTGAGGGTCCCAGCAGCCACTGGAGGAATAGCACTCCAAGGCCACCCACAAACCTTTGTGTACCCTCTAAATATTCATCTCACAGCCTGACACTTCTCCCTCTGCATTTCAACTTGCTCATTTACTTTATTAATAAATTATTATTCCTGGAAAATTACCACTGCATGGAGATCTAATTCTTTGATGGCACACCAGTTCTCAACTCTGGTCTGAAACATGTTTGTGCATATTTATAAGTAGTTTCCAATTGTATTTCCAAATATGTATAAAGATGTTGCATTTCATTGGCATTTCATTAAATATATAACAATAAGATTAAACTTTCACTAGATTATCTGAAGTCATTCAAAGAGGGTGTAAATAGCATCTATTCATTGCAGAAATATTTTAGCAGCCTGCTCTCAGCTTTGTTCTGCTGGGAAGGGTGGATGCAGTTCCAAATTTCAGTAACAAATAGCAGCAATGGGTCTCCCTAACCTGCAAAAGAACCCCAGACAGGTTGGGAGGGGATCCTCAGTCACCTGCATTCACATCAGCTCCCTGAATTTTGGATTTCATGTTCTCATCAGCCTCATTAGCACTCATTAGTGCCAGCAGGTTGTTCTCAAATGCCCCACTCCCTTTGCAGAGGGTTTATGTCAACCACCAATAAATTCACACATGTAAAGCAACAAAAAAAGTTGGCAGCTTGATGCTTGCCTTGGATATTTGTTGCTGTGCAAGAATTCATGAAATTCCAAGAGAAAATACAAGGTTGTGTTATAGCACTCTGGAAGGTCATAGAGTAACTATGCATTTCTGGGGAGACAAGTTTATCATACATGATTTATTTTATAATTTCATGTCCTTTCTCTCTGCCACAGATATCTGCAAAAATCTGTTTTGTTGAGGCTTGCTCTGCCTTTCCTTTGCAGAAATCAAGTTTCCTGATAGATAATGTGCTGAGGGTTCTGTTAGAATACCAACTATGATCCATGACTTTCAGAGAAAAAGTGTCAAGCTTTAGTAATGTCTGAGTTCAGTGGAATGTGGAATAATTACAGCTTTAAAAAGCCTACCACACTTTTTGAGTACAGGATTATCAAATGAGAACAGGGTTGAGAGCCAGCTGCCAGCACAACTGGCCTAGGACCCACTGGCATCTCCCAAAGGAGTGCCACAAGAGACCTCCCATCCTGACAGCTCCTTGCTGGCTTCATTTTTGTATTTCCTAAAATCCCAGACTTTGAAAAGATCTCACAAGTTGAGCTGTGAGCGGCTGAGAAACATTTTGATTTCTTTTCCTTGTCATTGCTGCTGAGATCATCCCAACTCAGCAAATGGTTATGCAAATTCTAGAGTTCTCCTGAAACTCTGGGTGCTTTATCTGTGTGCCTGGCTAACAAATCAGTATTTTACCTCTGGACAGCTGGGCACATGTTACAGGTGCCCAGAGGACCAGGGTGCTGTTACTGTCCATGGACTCACCACGAAGTGAAGATGCACATGGACTCACCACGAAGTGCCCATGAGGAATCCTGGTCCCACTTCAGCTGTGGAAGCCCCTCAGCCACATGTCTAAGCAGCAAAGAAAGGGACATTAAAAATGACAAGGCTGCAGCAGTTGATGCTCTCAATCTTAACAGCACTGAGGGCAAGAACCTGGCAAAATCAAAGCTTTTTTGTGTGAAACCATCTCCATTCAGCTCAAAAGGCAGGAATGCGCTTAAGGACCTTCTGGCAGCACTTCACGTAATTTTAATGTTTTAATTTATTTTCTTAGTAACTGAGAAACTCATTCTTCAAGTTAAAAAAGTGTCATTCCCAAACTCCTGCAATTCAGTGTTAAAGTTCAGCAGGGTAGAAGAAACAGAGGGCAACATACAAGGAAACACAGCAAGAATAACTCTTCCTCTATGTAAATAAAATTGCAAATGGCAAACTGGTATAGCAAGGAGATTATTTACCTGTAGTAAGAGAGTGAGAAGCAGAGCTGGGATTAAACAAACCTTGTGAGTTTCTGCTTCTCAGGCCATTAGCCACCCCTACCTCTGTTGGTCACAAGGAAAGCACACAACATGTTTATGGCCATTTTTCCTAATTTACTAATTTCCTAATTTAATAGCAGTTGTTGGCTACTAGGAGATGGCAGTGTAAGTGGTTTTTCACTAGTGACTCTTCCCATGCTGTCAAATTAGCACCCTTTTTTGCTGGTTTATGCAGATCTTCCAATGAAATTGTCCATGGATTCTTTGCATCTAATCTGCCCTTTCATATTTAACAGTGCAGCCCACAGTATTGTTCACACATATAATACACTGTTAAAAATACACTCTAGCTGTTGAATATTTTGCAATGGAGAATCAGGAATTCTGAATGGAAAAAAAATTTAAAACTTCAATTCTTTCAATTCTATCAGTGAATTAATAAAACATTTTTTAAAGCCTGGAGAATATCACAAAGATCAGAGTGTTCAAAAAAATAAAAGAAGTTTAGGATGCTGATGTCTTTTTAATGTTTACTACAATTAAAAAAATATTAAATTAACTCAGCAAGACTGAATTTGAGGCAATTAGAGATGTGAGACACCACTTGCTAGACTGATTGCACTGTGATTGTATTTTAAACAGGAGAAATGTCCATTTTCCCAGAGCTATGAGAGGTCTGTTCTCAAAGTCTGTGAAGCACTGCACTGCAGGAGCATTAGATTGATACTTGTAAAATTGAGTAAGATTGAATTAAAGCAGAGAGTTTGATAGTTTGGACTCCCTGTTGGAAACAGCCTGCATTTCTCCCAGATAGCAATATTCAACCTGAAATCTTTTGTTTCAGATTTGTATTCTTTAACTTATCAGATTTCTTCTCTACAGCTCCCAGAGTGGCTGCTATCTAGTCTGTTTATGAAATACATAACCCTTCAGATGACACTTTCTTTCAGTCCAGTTTTCTCATCCTCCCAGAAAGTGTGTTCCCACCCCTGTAATTCATTCTGCTCCCCATGACATCCCAATAAACTAAGAGAAACTGCATGTCTCATTCAATTCTCTGAGATTTTGTTGTATAAGGAATAGATGAGCACCAGGTTACAGTTTTTCCCATTCTAGTTTATATCCTTTAAAAAAAAAAAAAAAAGATAAACTACTTGAAAGATTTTACCCACCTCTGTGCTGTTGCTATTGCCAAAATCTCCATCAGCGCAAGAATCTCTCACAGGGAGTTTGAACTTTCCTTTAATCTAATCCATTTAGAAAATGACTCACAATATATTGAATAAAGTGGAGAAAATTGATACCTTTTCATTAAGCTGACAAAGTCTTTTTCACTTCTGACATCTGTGAAATGTGTTCTCTATTTAAATTTTATTTATATCAATCTTCGCTGGTGGAAACGAGATTAAAACGGAATGCTCTGTACTTACAGGGAAAACTTTCCCAGGCTGCTATGAGTGTCATAGTGGCTGTGAAAATGAGCTTCTTATCCCTTGCAGTGACACGATACCTGTGATCAGGAGGAGCCACAATCCATGTCTCCATTCCTTTGTATTCTATTTCTGTATAAACAAAATGTGCCCACTTTATCACAGGCAAAAAGAAAGCTGCTGTGGCTTTTATAATGGCAACTGCAGAAACAATCTTGGAACATTTTAATACATAGCATGTTCCCTCTAAACTGTTGAAAAATTCATGATGATAATTTGCTCTGTTTCCATATTTCAGGGTATTCTATAAACGTGAATTAAACTTATCTGTTACTCTGTGAGGATGGTCTTATTGTTATATTGTTAAATATAATGTTTTTATAGTTTGTGCCATATAGACTCTGTCATATTGTTAAAGCAATTTCCTAAATACAAATGCAGAAAAGTTAAGAAGAATTTTATCTGCAAAACAAAACAAAAAGAATTTGCATTTTCTCTACAGACAGGAGTAGCAAAAATGACTGTGAGTGTCTGGGCTGTGTGTGCACATTTTCTCTGTCCATGTCCTGTTAATCACCTGTAAAACAGCTGTGAGGAACAGAATAGCTTCAGTTTAATGCAAGAACTTGAAGACTGAGAAATGTGAAACATAATAAATTCAGGAGTTTCAACAGGCATCTTTAATCAAATGGATTGTGTATTATTTGCAAAGTTCATTTGACTCAAGAGGAGGATGATTGAACAATTAATGCTTCCATGTTGATTTGATCTTTTAGGTGTAGATATATGAAGGTGTTTAGTGCATTTCTACTGTCCCTTAATAGAATACTTTGATGCTGAAATTCAAGGGAAAAACTTTTCCCCAGCCAGCTGCCTACATGGATCAAAACTCTGTGCTCCAGATGATAACAAGAGCAAATCAAAGCACGGTCAATACACTTGTGCAACCACCAAAGGTTCTTGTGAACTTTGAAGGCTGAATCCAAGCTGAACTGGCAGTTCCCTGCAGCTGCGTAAGGCTTTGGGCATTCTGTTTGGGAACAAATATATTTTAAAATGCAATAGAATTGTGTAAACATGAGAAAATATAAGCTATTCTATTGCTTTTTCCCTGTATTCTATCTGATCTTCAGATTTTTTTATTTGTAGTTTATTTATTTGGAGCCCATGATTTGCAAATGCCATTTCAACCAAATGCTTCTTTGTGTGTGTTAATCCATGCAGACTACATACATCAAAAGTTAAATATTTTGATTAAAATTATTCTATGGCTTTGCAAAAGAAGATTTTAGAAACGTGTGATTTGGGCTGAAAAGCAAAACCTCAAGAAGTTCCTGAAGAAAGTTGCTTTTTTCCCCAGCTCCATTGGTGATATGTCAAGAGTTAAATATTCTTATAAAAGAGGCATTTTCTTGAAAATAGTACAGATATAAACAATCCCTTTTTCTAACCTAGTAGATGATAGGAAAAAAAAAAAACAACACTGAAATAAAACAGAAGTAGAGCAGGAATAGTCAAGGCTCTTCTGTTCCACATCCTTTTCCTTTCCCCATGGCAGAGGGATCTGTCTCAGTCAATTCAGGCTTGCATGAAGAAATTCCTGTGCTTTGTGTATTCCCCATACAGTGAGAAGAACACAATGAGAAGCACTCCAGAATGCTACAGGTGTGTAATTCAGCATGACATGAGCACTCACAGCCTGTGCTGCCTGGTGATTAACAGGAATCTTGAATTCTCACTCCGGAGAAGTGGTTTGGGTCACTGAGAAGCTCAGGTTCCTTGGGATCTGGGAGTTCTTGAATAAAAACCACCCTGAGGGGGAGCATCTTAATTTGAGCAATTTGACCCAACTGCTTCAGCTCATTTCAAAGTGACATAACCTAAACATAGAAAAGCTGCATCATGTCCCTGGGGAAGGGTTCTCCCCTCCTCCTACAGGTGGGCCCGGGCCCAATCTCAAATGCTGCAAACTGTGATTCATTTTGAAGTGTTTTCCTCCCTCTTTGAACAGAGCTGGAGGTGTAAAACTTTGAAATCAAATAGAACTCAAAGGATCTGCAGTACCCAAGACAACTGGTCCTAAAGATTAAAAGGCTCTTAATAGAAGAGAAAACCTATAAACACAAGATTCAAAGAAAGTAATTTTCTTTGGGTTTTGGACACCCCTGCCATGGTAAGAGGCTAATGACTAGACTACAGTGAGCTTTCTAGTGCTTCAGTCTTAAAAAGGATTTTGCCTATTTACATATTAGAGACAAAAAGGAGCTTTTCATCTGCAAATTTCCCCCATTATAAAAGGAGCCTGGTCTTCAGCCCAGGTGCAGGTGCTCACTGATGGGTACTTGGATATAATTGCACCCTGATAATAACTCAGTAATAACATGTATGTATATACTAAAATCAATACACCACTACATGAGTCAGTTGCCATTAAATTTCAGCACTGACTTTGCATTTGATTATTTTTCAAGGTCAAGATCTGAATACTTGGGTTGTATTTAACAACATTCATAAGTAGTGAGATCATTTTAATTGCTATGAGCAGCATTGCTTCTCCATGCTGCCTCCCAGTCTGTATTCACCTCAGATCTCTGTTTTACCTGGTAAACTCCCCAGGCCAGGGTGTTCAGGTTTGTGGGGTTTAGTACCTTGCACTGCAGGATCCTTCTCTGTGGTTATTTAATGCTATAGCACTGCTCCTAGGGAATAATCATGATCACCACTTTTGATTCCATGTCACAGGATTCTTCTCACACATCCTGAGGATGCTCTGCTCTGATGATTGCTGTGAAGGCCAGCATTTAGCAGGATATGGTTTTTCAGTTTGCCCACTGCACAATCTATTATTAGAGCACAGATTCAGCCCTCATACTTTTCCTGCATAGCAAAGAGAGAGATCTTTTTTCTCTGCTGTTAGCAGCATCAATGATATCCTTCTGAAACAGGTGTGTGAATAGCATCATTAAACTGCCTTGCCAGCACAGGTGTAAAGGGCTTTTTTTGTGTCTTGTATATATGGGGAAATGATATATGATAAAAATCAGATAAAAGCTGTGGGAAGAACCAGGAAAGACAACGCTGAGAAATATATGATTATTGTAGGGCTCCTCAAACTGAACTATTC